AGGAAGACATATAAAATAAACCCTATCTAATTTTTATGTTAGATAGGGGAACTTGTCGGCCTTTTTTTATGAAAATATTTTGCAGACCAAACGGATGTCACAAATTGTTTAGTCTAGATGATTGAATCCCTATTACAAGTGATATATTTATTCTTCGGGATAAGTGTATTGCTTGTAGTATTGTATTAAATCATCTAAGCTATTTAAAATGTGAGACTCGTTTGGTCTCACTTATTTTAAAAATTAAAAAGTTACTTCTTTAAAAAGGTTATATTTATATTTAAATTATTTCTAAAATCACAAAATCATCACCTTTCCAAACTACGAAAGTGAAAGTTGAACAAAAAAATGGCCGACAATGGTGTCTTGCATGACATCTTGCATAGTCATTATCACATGCTTGAGTTGCATTTTCAGTGTTCGTTCATACACTCATCCCACTTGTATGATTCTCCCTAGTGAGGATCACCATCCTTTCGGGTCACTGTTGTTGGTATCAAATTTTAATTTCGCAAGTGTTAAATTTCTGCTCAAGTGCCACGGAACCTTGCTTGATGCTTGTGATGATTTCTGTGGTGCAAGACATCCATTTGAGACCTTTCGGCGCTTCTTGAGGAACACGTAACCAAGGACTTTCTGCTAGGCTTTGGATTTTGCTTAGACAAAGGCAAGTTGGTATTTTGCACGTCATACGACTCTAATCGGCTCGACGAATATTATGTGTCATGTCGTGTGCGAAATTAACCTGAATTGGCTTGTCCACCGAAGAACTTGTTTAGATGACCTCGAATGACGAAACAGATTGAGCGAGTTGGTCTGGAACGTCAATTTCACCTAGGGAGAACGCTCATTTTGCTACACCTTCGTGTTCGCGCTATAAATGCGTGAATTATCATTTTCGCCCAATCATAAAAAAATTTGTTCGAATGACCACAGATAACAAAACAAACCACGTGAGTGCGTCCGAAACGTTAATTTTATGCGAAAGAGACACTCACTTCAAAATGATAGCTCTTCCTGGCTAAAAATGTGCGGGTTGACGATTATTCAAATAATAATAATAATTATTATAATAATAATAATTATTATTATTATAATAATTATTATTATTATTTGAATAATCGTCAACCCGCACATTTTTAGCCAGGAAGAGCTATCATTTTGAAGTGAGTGTCTCTTTCGCATAAAATTAACGTTTCGGACGCACTCGCGTGGTTTGTTTTGTTATCTGTGGTCATTCGAACAAATTTTTTTATGATTGGGCGAAAATGATAATTCACGCATTTATAGCCCGAACGCGAAGGTGTAGCAAAATGAGCGTTCTCCCTAGGTGAAATTGACGTTCCAGACCAACTCGCTCAATCTGTTTCGTCATTCGAGGTCATCTAAACAAGTTCTTCGGTGGACAAGCCAATTCAGGTTAATTTCGCACGCGACATGACGCATAATATTCGTCGAGCCGATTAGAGTCGTATGACGTGCAAAATACCAACTTGCCTTTGTCTAAGCAAAATCCAAAGCCTAGCAGAAAGTCCTTGGTTACGTGTTCCTCAAGAAGCGCCGAAAGGTCTCAAATGGATGTCTTGCACCACAGAAATCATCACAAGCATCAAGCAAGGTTCCGTGGCACTTGAGCAGAAATTTAACACTTGCGAAATTAAAATTTGATACCAACAACAGTGACCCGAAAGGATGGTGATCCTCACTAGGGAGAATCATACAAGTGGGATGAGTGTATGAACGAACACTGAAAATGCAACTCAAGCATGTGATAATGACTATGCAAGATGTCATGCGAGATATTAAGCAGGAGACACATCATGCTCGATTGCCTAAGTCATAGGATGCCACTGGGAACACTTATACCTTACCTCAACAATGACCAAACACACATGCAAAGAACAAACACATACAAGGTATAGTGCATCATGAAAACAATCAATCGGACACTAATGCACGTGCATAACATGCACTATGCAAGTGATCAGTCGATCGGGCTGAGAAGGTCGGTCAGACCTAAGTGAATGGATGATCGGGGCGAGGTGGTCGGTCGAGGCAAGAGTGATGTCAACCGGGCTGGGGTTGCCGATCGAGGCAATAGTGATGCCGACAGGGTCGGGGCGGCCGTGCAAAGCGAAAATCATACCGACCGGGCCGG